TGTATCTTCAAATATTTCATAAAAAAAAATATTTCTTATTAAAAAACGTTTTATAACATTCAATATTAGAAGATATATTCTCATACATTTTCTACATTTTGTAAATATTATGTAATACACGTATAGAAATTTTGTATACGAAAATAACTTTGCCGTATACAATTTACTCTAATATAATTTGCAAAATAATCAAAAATTGGCAACTACTCGTTTCGCAACTGCAATACAGATGGTACTGATCAAAGGTTAGAGTTGGAGGTAAGGTTAGACTTAGATATGCTAAAGCGATATTGAACGCGCGCCAATGTGACAGCACGTGGGAAAGTTATAAGTCATACCGCTTGCGTCCATTTAGGAAAGCCCCATTGGGTAGAAACGACGAGTCTGTGGGTACGGAGAACACCGTTTACCACTTCTCTGTCGATGACATCCGCCCCAATAACCGAAGGCACCATAGGATTCGGATACTTTCTCCATGCGGCCTGCGCTACCGTCTCCCAAGGATGACTGTGAAATAAAAGTATTACTCTTGTTATGTACATGAAGAATCGCGTCAATGTAATTCCTAAATATTATTCGTTCGACGAAATTATTCACCATCTAAGAGAAAGCGAAAAAAGAAAATTTCTCTCAGATTTAGGTTAAGTCGAGTCAACCATAATAGACAGACGACGGGCTGTTCTAAGTTTCTTTTTACGCACAGAATATTCGCGAATTTTAGAAAATCAATTGGAAAGAATAAATAAAACCAGTTTGGCTCCTCAGGGCCCTTTGCATTTTGGCGATAAACTACATTCGTTACTAGGTTACACTGTCGATAAAAAGTTCACTTTTAATGCTGTAGAAGTGTAACGAGGACGTGTGTTGCATTATGATCTTTACACGAGACAAAACTGACAAAAGTAATATTCAGGATACTGGATGAATTATTGTAGAGAGCCACAGGCTTCGTACTCACTCAAAGGTATGCTCTGACGTCCAGATTTTCATAGTTATGGATAGAGGCGCGAGCGACACTGCATGTAGGGTTGGCACTGTAATTTAACGTGCGACACGTGAGCGGAATAGGCTGTCGCGATATCGGGCGTCTGTCGTGCGTCGAGCCGTCTTTAAAGATGTATGATGTAAGTGGCGATGATCGCTAGACGCTATCGCGAATATCGCGAATGACGCGAATAGCGCGATGACAGTCTGCTCTATTTGCCCCACAATAGCAGCGTCAGCCAATAGTTACCGTTTGCATTTAGCGTTCAACATTATTGGTCGGCTCCATTACGCAGTATATGGCGCGCTAAATCAAACGTGATCAAACGTATCGTTCGTTTACGTTTCACAACATTGTATTACAACGTGCTAAAAACAATTACGAAGTCCCGTGAATAAGCAAGTAAACATTTGAGATTGCAGAGTAATTAAACAAATAATTAATTAAATATTAATAATTTTATCTATACAATAAATTATGAATGTATGGATTATCGATTAGTAGACTATCCAAGTAACACTCGATTATTATATTGAGATAATATGTATCTCCTTGATTGAGACTTAATGAAAATTTTACTGAATTTTATATTAATTTGTGTGACGTCGCTTAACATTGCGTTTTATTTGAATGGAACTTATTTTTAATCGTTTAATCTCAGGCTGGAATAAAGATTAATAACAATTTTAACTTAACTTTTAGAGAACGGGTTGGTTTTCGAGCAACTTCTTTCATTTTTAATTTAATATTTGAAATAGATGCTTTGTAGTAAATTATTCAAGAAAAAATTTCTTTCTTGTCTGGATAATATTTTTTTCAAACTCTATTGTTGAAATGTTTCATGTTGAATAATTATTTTTACATCTTTCATGGAATAAAAACAATAGAATAAAAACATTGTATACGTGTATATAAAAATTTTCAAGATGGAAAGAAAAGAAAAAGTTATATCAATACATATCAGTATACTGTATAATAATTACATATGCAATGAAAAAACAAATTAGGTTTTCAAAATAAGACACTGATCATGTTAAATTAACTTAAATTATTAAAAACCGATAAATTGGCTCGGTCTCGCATCATCTAGAAGCTAATTCTGCTTGAACATTAAAGGTTTTTTTTTTAACAAGATAGATATAAATAAATAACAAAAGTAGACATATAATATAAATCTTATATTAATTATTTACAAGTTTTGCTTTTTCTGAAAGCAATTAATACGCTGTACTCTAAAAATAAACAGGTACCATTGTATATTCTTAGCGTAGTAGATTATTAATATCTGTAATGCAAAAGTAATTTAGTATAACAAATTAAATTGGTAATAAATACACCGAGACAATGAAAAAATCTTATCGAGTCTATTTTATAGCTTCGTGTTTGAATTGCATCTCATGTGTAATGGCACAGCTGGTTGAGGACCTTCACATTCCAAAATCATTTTTTCAGCTGTTCTTAATGCATTATATATCGATCGAGACTTCGGTGCTTTCGCTAAGTAAACCGTGCATTGTCCCAAAAGAACATCACACTCTGGCATACCAATCATTTGACAACCATGCATTGTATGAACAGCTACACCTGAAATTTTCAAACAATTGTACTAAAAAAAAATATGAATATGGATTTTTAATGTCATGCGCGATGTTTATATACTTCTCATCGTGTTAGTGCTGATATTAACATATTTGATATTAACACTATGGATGTTTCAAATCCACATCATGTTGGTGTTGATGTTAATATTTAATACAATACGTTTTAAATTTGATCTTGATATAAACACCAACACAATGAGAATTATTTAAACATTGCAGTGTTAAATCCACACATTTTTTAGAATGTAAACTATGAAAAATATATCTCGTTTCTTTACCTAAAGCATCTGGATCTGCTAGACCAATATCTTCACTAGATATTCTAACTAGCCGTCTTGCAATATTTACCGGATCTTCCTTAGCTGCCATAATTCTAGCCAACCAATATAGAGAAGCATTTGCCTTACCAGCTCTTATTGACTTATGAAGCGCAGAATATATGTGATGGCTCTGATTGGTTTCTTTTTCGGAGAGCATATGTGTTTTTATTAAACCTTCTTTAATATCTTCTAGAGTTATTGTTATATTATTGTGTGATATTCTTGACCCATCTGCTTGCCGTGCAAGCATTGCTAATTCTAAAGCATTCAGAGCCACACGTGCATCACCATCGCATGCTCCTACTAGCCACTGTATTATATTATTATCAACATGATATTTAAGTTTAGTATTGGAATGAAATTTAATCCACTCTCTACTGTTTGTCTGTTCTTTTTCTTGTATGTCAAGCATCTTTCCATTCATATAGTCTAATGCCTTATAAACAATTTCTGTTACATTGCATTCTGTTAATTTATTTAACATAAACATGCGACAGCGACTTAGTAGAGCTGGATTTAAACTATAAAACGGATTCTCAGTGGTACATCCAATTAAAGTAAACGTTCCTGTCTCTACATGCGGCAAGAATATATCTTGCTGTAACTTATTGAAACAATGAATTTCATCCATAAAAACAATTGTCTTGCATCCAAATTTTGATTTTTCCTTTGCTGCCGTAACAGCATCCTTTATACTTTTTACACCAGAACTGGCTGCAGATAGATTCACAATGTACACATTGTTACTTGTTAATTTCCTGCTTAAACATGCTATTATATTCGCCAAGGATGTCTAAAATATAAATTGTAAACGATTATAATTATTATAAAGAAGCTATATGAAAATATAAGAGTAAAACTAGCTTTATATAGATTAAGAAGCTGTTGTGTACTGTAGTGATTTTGTTACCCACTTTCCAAACTTGTCGAAAAAAAAGAGTAACAAAAATCACTACTGCAGTGGCCTCTTGATTTATTACCTTTCCACATCCAGGTGGTCCCCAGAATATCATGCTAGGAATCTCTCCTTTTTCCAATAAATAATTTAAAATAGTGTTTGGTCCAATTATATGTTTTTGTCCCACATAAGCTTCAATATTCATTGGTATCATCTTGTCAGCAAGTGAAATACGTTTCAGTGTTCCTGAGGATTGTACTTTGGACTCTTTTATAAAATTATACTCAGACATGCTGTTGATAGTACTCGGTATTTGATTATGTATTTTAAATTTTTTCACTTGATTATGTGTGGCAAAATCCTCATCGAAAGGAAATGATCTCTTAGTCTTTACTTCCATGTATTGTAACTCTGCTTTTTGGTTATGTTATTCTTTTCTTACGTACTAAATATACATTTGTATTTGCTTACATATTTGAACGAAGTCAAATATACACTAATGTCTGGTTTATGTTTCCGTCTTAACCTGACGATTTAACGAAAAATATTAATGAGTTTCGTGATCTTTCATTAACTTTTATACTTCCATTATGCCAAGGTTATGTTAAAATGTTGTCTTACGATTGTAATATAATGTGACTAATTTAATCGGTTTATTTGTTTAAAAAATAATGCATTAATATTCACTATGTTAGATAAATTATTTCCTGTGTAATACTTTGTGCTTACTGCTTATTGATATAAGGCTGGGTTTATGCTCCAGATCTTAACCCTAAAATTTAGCCAATAAAACTGTCAATCTCAACCGAAATCTGTATTCCATTGGTTGAATTTTAGGATTTTAGGGTATATCAATATATTAGTATATCAATAAGCACAAAGTGTATTACAATAGATTTTTAAGTCTCATGCCATAAGAAATGGACGAATTACAATCGATTATTCTCCTATTGTATTTGACTGTAATTGATCACTTTATAATATATTATAATGCATTGTTTTTTAAACATAAATTGATTAAATCAGTCATATTATATTACAATCGTAAGACAACATTTTAACACAATCTTGGCACAATGAAAGTATAAAAGTTAATAAAAGATCATGAAATTCATTAACATCTCTCGTCAAATCGTGTAGAATAATTAGAAAAAGTGAAGTGCTGCCATCTACGGTAATATGAGTGTGTCATCGCCATGATGCCATGTAACAAAGTCAATCAATAATGTCAAATTTCTCGTACCGAACTGACGTATATCCATGGTGGAAGTATATATATTTCTATATTTTTTCATCATGCATATACTATAATGTATATTTATTGTACGACACAACATGCGTGTAATGAATAACGTGTAAATTATCCGCAACTGTAAGTTCTTTGTTTGTCAGGTACATTTTCTTCGACTGTGTGTAAAATTATAGCTGGATTGGAGCTAAAAAAGAATGTTCGTAGAATACCTGAAATTCAATTTTACAATGCCGGTGAGCAAGGAACAATATCGTGTCGAACAAGAAGCATTTGTTTCCAATCATGGGGGCACGACACCTCATGATGTGTTTTTCTCGCTTCTGCCAACCATATGCAGCATCGTCATGACAACATCAACCATGGAAGTTCTTAAAAAGTATATACACATCCATGAAAATATCAAAGTCGTCATACAGTTCGTGTTAATCATTATTCCTACTATCTTGTGTTATACCATACTGTCGGAATACATTATTAGCGCATGCTTGATATTAACGTTAATATGTACATTAAACTTATCACTGATGATAGAAAGGAAAATTAATTACTCGGATTTAAATACGGAATTGGTTAAGGATAAGATATCCTGCATAACTAATTTTCGAGCACTGACCAACATTATTACTGCTGTTTGTATATTAGCCGTTGATTTTCGTATTTTTCCACGGAAATTCGCCAAAACAGAAACGTACGGACACAGCCTAATGGATACAGGTGTTGGAATGTTTATATTGGCGAATGCGTTGGTTGCGCCAGAGACTCGAGACTTCTCTACTTCCCGTCAAATATGCTTTTTAAGCACTCTAATAAGAAATATGAATAATTCCTTTCGAAGTTGCATATCTCTCTTGATATTGGGATTCGGACGATTTACAGCAGTCGAATACCTAGGATATCAGAAACATGTCACTGAATATGGAGTTCATTGGAACTTTTTTCTAACTTTAGCTATCGTCAAATTATTAACTAGCATGATTACCAGCGCTATTAACACAAAGTATTCATTATTCTCTGGTATATGGATATTATGCATGCATGAATACACCATGAGCATCAAAGATTTAAAATCATGGGTTTTGCGAGACGAGCCGAGAGTTGACTTTTTTTCTGCCAATCGAGAGGGCCTAATTTCGATACCCGGTTACGTAGGATTGTATTTTATCGGTGTAGCTATCGGGAGACTTATACATTCCACATATCAAACTTTGTACACAAATTCGAATTTAGACTTTAACACAAAACTTTCTTGGTTTAAATATACAGAATTGTATGAGCCTTTATGCTTATTATATATTAAATTAATTAAGATCTCTGCACTAAGTTTCTTGACGATAGTATACTGTGATTTTAAGGTTTCAAGAAAATTAGCGAACTTCGGGTATTGTATGTGGATAGTATCTTTAACAACTGCACTACTTAGTATCTTGGTGTTTATAGAGTTTATGTTAGGGCTAACGAATATATTTCATATATCGTACAGCAACGACATTAAAATTGAATTCAAATTGAATGTGAATACAAATTTACGGATGAATTTAAAGAAACACGTAAAGAGTGAGAAATTAGAGAATATTAGAGTTATATTCGGGAAACCTTTAGAGATTTTTGATGCTGTAAATTACAACGGTCTATTTTTTTTTCTTGTCAGTAACATTATGACTGGTATTGTAAATATGTCAATGTACACATTATATGCTAAACAATCAGTAGCTCTATCAATATTAATTATATACATGGCTGTGAATGTAATTTCAGTATTAATACTTTACAGGCTCAAAATACGGATCAAACTGTAAAATATGAGTAAAAATAGTAACGAGTCAATTTTAATGAATTTACAATGTTTAATTAAGATTTTGACGATCCTGTTAAAAACAATATACTTCCATAAGTCTTTGATATGTTGAAGATATTATTATTAATTTATATTTAAAAGTGTATATACAGTGAATTTTGTTAATAATTTTATTTGTATTATATAGTTATAAGGAAATATTATGTTATATTGTATATATATATATAAATTCCATGTGGCCAAATATAGATGTAATTAAATATTATGTCACATTTAACGTTAAATATATATCATATATGTAAACATCGATTACAAACTAATAATTAAGAAAAAATATTGCCAAATATGCAACTCAGACATCAAGATTCATACACATACACACATCACGCGTTTATTTTGTTCATTAAAATAAAGTAAAGTATATACATTAATATGAAAATAATATAAAGAAAATGTATATAAGGAATTTGAACAACAAATGTACTTTACAACACATTCTGTATTTCATCTTGTCAATTTATTGCCTAAAAGTCCTGTTCATAATTCATCTTTGGATAATATATCCGACTTTTGTAGTCGTATTGGTTCTTTAGTATTAGAAGGTTGTACTGATTCTTCATTATCTACCGTCCTAGTAATGTTTTGTATTTTGTCATGAAAATTATTAAACTTTTTGAATGCATTATGGTGCTTCACGTGATTTTTCGCTAGCAATACGATTTTGAGGAACTCCTTAACATCGAAGTTGTAATTCGTAAATTTGGCGTGAGCCCCGCCATCAGGGTGGGTCCCCTATAATAATAATAACTATTTATTAACCCAAAGTTTTAACTTTAATTATTATATTAGTTAAACAATAGAATAGAAAAAATTAAAAATATTTTATATAAAATTATATATAATATATCATATATATTATATACATATTCAATAATAAAATTTTATTTACTATTAAATTGTCTTCTGATTATAGTAAAGTTAAATGATTAAATCCTGCATTATCTTATAAGTAATCTATTGAACGTACCGGATCTTGTTGCACTAACTTTGACGTATCTTTCCATGTAAAATATTTTATACCTCTCAATCGTGCAAGATCTTTGTAACAATTAGGATCTTCGCAATTGTATCTGTGAAAAATATTGAAATGTATGATTATGGGTACTCGCAATCATATATTTTCTAAGTATAAAGAATCTTACATTTCAAATACTGCTGCCCAATCCGGCAGAAACATTAAATGTGTTAAACCGGCGCCATGAATACCGATAAAAATGTCGGAATTTCTAGTGATTTCCAATTGTTTCTTGAATGGAACGTTTTTGTTATACACCATCTACACAGTACAAAATATTTTGTATTTGTGTGAAAACTATTTCTTGTTAAAATTTTTGTGTTGAATTTTTAATACATATCCGAATTTTAATTTAACATGTGATCGTGTTATTTGAATATTTTGTGTGAAATTGATATTCAACATTTTTTAGTATTAACTTAAAATAATACAATTTATGAGTAAATGAACCAGTAGCATAAAAATGTATAATTTTTAAACGTAAATTTTAAGATAAATGTGAATAAAAAATGTAACATATTATAAATGATAATTTTAGTGAAGAAATATGTTTCCATAATTTATTTACGAATTATGTTAGTATTTTTTGTGTTAATTTTTTTTATATAATATTTGTATTACTTCCTAACATATTCATCTAATGTTGAAATTAACACAAAAATTTGGGTGGACCATTTGAAACGTGTGAAATGTATTAAATTTAATACAAATTTTTTAACTGTATAAAAAATGGATCACACGTAAATCAAATCTTAAAGATATGTTAGTCAAATATCTCCGTTAGAATTTTACCTTATTAACTTTATACTCTGGATTCTCCTTTAAAGCTTTTACCAATTCATCCTCGTTTAAGATCTTTCTGTACTGAGTATCTCTGCTCAGCAATGTTATTCGAATCTTCCGATCTTTTCTTGGATGAAGAGGTATTTGAAGTCGATGCAACACATGATCGCCAAAGGCTTTGAACAATCCAGATTTTTCACAGCCGTAAATCTAAAATAATATTTTCTTATAATATTCTTTCAATATTAATACTATCAATATTAGTACTATTCAATATTATAGTACAAGCGGTGTATTGTAATATAATCCAAAAATCATTCTCGGCAATAGAGGAAAGACCAAGTTCTTGAAGCACACTGTCTCTCCTCGAAATGTTTTCAAGTCCCATAATGGATTTCTTGTAAATGCTTTGAAAGTATCTTGGAACGCCGATCGATAGCTGAAAGCAAAATGCAGTTTGATATCTAATAGTTCGTAGTTCTTATTTTCTGTTTGTGTCAGTTTCGTTTTATGTTTCGTTCTATACTTGTTACCTATAACTTTCCCAGATCATTATATGATTGTCTGTATCGAAGGCAGATGGGTGCGAGAGATTCACGTGCAATGATGCGTATAAGTTGAAAAAGTCACAAAAATGATGGTACATATTTACTACTAAAACAAAGCGACTTTAATGAAATGACAAACATGAATCGTAATTCATTTTATTTTTTTTCCCAAGTGTCTTCCTACTTACTAGCATCTATCTTCATAATGAAAGTCGGTTTCTCAATGATGACATCACAATCGCCATGAACAATCGGCCGATGAAGTAATTTTCGAAAGTTTCGTAATTCTGGTCCCCAGGATTGCAGCGGGCTAATATGATCCGCGTTTTCCTGTAATCTCTTTTCGTTCAGCCTGATTGCAGAAGAGAAAGTTAGATACTTTCCAATGCCTCACACAGATGATCTTGATCTGCTTTGCTCGCTGATATTCACTCACGTGCAGTAGCCGCCAATTTGACCTTCTTTTAATACATCCATTTTGTATCGTAAAGGTTCCTTTCGATTCAACAAATCTGTAAAATTTAGCATCACGTTTCTTGATCTGCAGAACCTCATATGCTCCGAACACTCTAAGGACGAATCATCCTGCAATAAGTGGAATCTAATCAAAATATCGAATTATATTATCTTTTTGCATTCTATGTATGATGTCACATTTACATAGAAAAAACAATTTTGAAGCATCTAAAAAATTTAGGTACACATCTGAAAATAATTTTATTGAACTATCAAAATAATTACATAGGAATCTCAAGTATGATGCTACAAAAAATGTTGATATTTTAACAATCGATTTGAGCATTCTATATAATTATTTTGATCATTCAACAAAATTATTTTTAGATTTGTATTAACTAAATTTTTTAAGACTTCAACAAAACCTCATCTCCATACATATTATAATTTAGTAAACTCACTATAAATAATGGTTCGCATAATAGCATCATCTCTTTCCTTTGGTCGCGCACGTATCCGAAATCGCCTTGTGCATAATAAGTGTCCAATTGAGCTCTTTTTGTGGCAACCCATCCTTTATGATCACCTGGACAATGTGGAATGGAAAATGAATTTTCTGCCTTGCAATCTTCTTCGTAGCCCCAACAAGCTTTAGTATTGAGACTATCCTGGAATGTATCATGAAATTAACGGTTTTAGTTTTAACGGATCATATAAAAAAATTATCGTATAAAAATAATTAAAAATTTTTTTTATAAAATTAAGTCAAATAAATAGTATAATATTATTATGCAGATGCGAGATTTCCACAGAAATCATGCTTGTAATTTTTAAATAAAATTTTATGTAATATAAATTAGAAGAATTGAAGGGCCAGTTATATAATAAAGAATGTTTAATTTAAAACATAAAAATAAAAATAATTATAAACGTTATTTTGTTTTAAACTTACAGAGCTTTATTATTATTTATTATTTTCATGTAATACGTTTCAAATATGTTCTATAAATAATAAAGGTGTATCAAGAAATTAAAGTTAAATATAATCTGATATAATCTTACCTTATATGGACACGCCGCATCATTGCGGCATTTTTCTGCTGCCGTGGGAAAAGAGTTGAAATAATACTTGACATGCTCGTATGGTAGATTAATATCTGTGTAATTGCCGCCAATGGCAGTGACCGTGAATACGAGCACCAGGGACACTGGGAAAACTGCGAACAATGTCCTCATGATCATCGCGTGTTTAAAAGAAATTAACCGGATGCTCTTAAGAGGTCCTCGCGCGTTTGTCTTACAACTGCACAGTTTGAAAAACGAACCACCTGTGAAGGTGGGTGTATGACCTCACAACCCGCGCATTAACACACATGCGTGAAACTTGTACGCCAGTATGGTGAGAGGCGATACTGAAGATACTACATGTGAGATGTGAGTCAGCTCACATCATAGAAATTGCGCACTGGCTTGCCTTGAGCAGTACACGAAGAAGCGAAGTATTAATCTTTTTTATTTTTTCTAAATAATACGCCGGCGTTTTTCGACCCGTCAGATCGATAATGCAGATTTGTCCGAAAACGGAGTATACGTAGAAGCATTTCCTTCGAAACAATCACAAGCAAGCTCATTGACTTCAATTCCCATCTTCCTGGTGAAACCATTAAGTACTTTCTTAAAGCATTGAAATCTCTCATAAATAAATGAAAAAATCTTTCCAGTTATCTTCACGCGATCAGCTGTGCACTAATGCATTGCAACATATGGCTATGTACACTTTCACTGTCAAGGATGAACTTATAATCACAATTTAAGCTGGTTTTTCTTTCAAGTGAAATTATTAGGACGAAACAAAAAAAATGAAGCACTCTGGAGCAACTTTTGTTTAATCCACGCGACTTTCAGCATCTTGAAGTCCAATTTTTTGAACCAGAATATTTTGTGAGTCTTATATTGAGGGAAAGCATTCTTGACTGATTTGAGAGAATCCCTCTATGGGTTTCTTCCTGCAATATAAATGATAGTACTCTTAGAGTCTCGGCAAAGTAGAGAAAATATAAATTTTACCTACTATCGATATGTAACTATCAGTACATATAGTAGAAAAGATTATATATAATAATAATATGTATACATAAT